CTTTGGGCTAAGGACCTGAACAGAGAGTTCTCAAATGAAGAAATAAAAATGGCTAAGAAATGCCACAAAAAGTGCTCAACATCTTTAGCAATTAGAGAAATGCAAATCAAAACCACTTTAAGACTTCATCTTACCCCAGTCAGACTGGCTAAGATAAAGAGAACAGAAGTGACCAAATGAGGATGTGGAGAAAGGGAGAATGCTTGTTCACTGTTGGTGGGAATGTAAACTTGTGCAACCACTGTGGAGGGTTCTTTTTTTTTTTTAATTTATTTTTTATGTGTATGAGTGCTACGCCTGCATGTGTGTAAGTGCACCTGTGTTGTGCAGTGCCTGCAGAGGACAGATGAATGCATTGGATCCCCTGGAACTGGAGCTATGGACAGTTGTTAGCTGCCATGTGGGTGCTAGGATTTGAACTTGGGTCCCATACAAGAGCAGCCAGTGCTTTTAAATGCTGAGCCATCTTTCCAGGCCTTGGTATAGAGAACTCTTAAGAAACTAAAATTAATCTACCATATGATCTGGTCATACCTCTACCCAACAGACTCATTCTACTTCAGAGGTGTTTGTACAGCCATGTTTGTTGAAGCTCTTTTACAAAAGTTAAGAAATGGAAACAAGCTAAATGTCCCTCTTGTGACAAATGGATGATGAAAATGTGATACATTCATGCAATGGAGTCCTACTTAGAGGTAAAGAAAAAATGAAATCATTAAACTTGCAGGTAAATGGATGAAACTAGGAACTGTTATATTAAGTAAAGTCACACAGATTCAGAAAAACAAGCAGTGTATGTTCTCTCTCATTTGTGGATCTTAGCTCCAAATCCCTCGATGTGAGTATAGATTCTGATGTAAATGGAAAGGAAAATGGAAATGAGACATGGGAAAAGGGGGATAATGAGTTCAAGAGAAGAGGATAGTAGGAGATACCTCCCTTATAGTTATTAGTCACAGTAATCCAAGAGACTCCAAAAATAACACAATGTATTTCCATAGTGCCTGATTGCCTCCCAGAACTTGAAGGTAAGACCCTATTGTTGAAGACAGGCCACACTTTGGACACAGGACTTGGAGCAACCAATCTGGAACTGACCTGGAAGCCTCCTCCCTGAACACTAGCTCTCATGGTATCAGAGGACACTAAATAAGCTGTCAAGGAAAAAAAAATCAATCAATCAATGGTCCTATCCAGCTATAAACCCTAAGAAACAACAATGACTGGCCAGGCAAACTATTGCTGTTGGTGAATGTGCTGGATAGCTTTAGTGTCAACTTGACACACCTGTGTTGAGGGATCCTCAATTGCTTCCATTGGAATGGCCTGTGGCCATGTCTGTGGGGCATCTTCTTGATTGTTGAGTGATGTGGGAGGGCCCAGCCCACTGTGGGTGGTGCCACCCCTGGGCAGGTGGGCCTGTGTTGCATAAGAAAGTAGGCTGAGCAGAGGTCAGGGGAGCAAGCCAGTAAGTAGTGCTCCTCCATAAACTGTGCTTCAGCTCCTGCCTCCAGGATCCTGCCCTGAGTTCCAACCTTGGGCTCCCTGATGAACTATGCCCTGGGAGATGTAACACAAATAAACCCTTTCCTCCCCAAGTTGCTATTGGTCAGAGTATTTTGTCACAGAAATGGGGAAACAACTAGGACAGTGCAGTAGTGATACTTTTATCTTGGGGGTAATCAACAACTGTCTAATTTGGAATAAGGCCTGCTCAATGGGAGGGAATCCCCACCCCCCACCAGGCCCTCCTGCCACCTCTCCCACCATGTAAACATAGCTAAATACACATGGTTGGAGAGGTCATAGATCCTAGAGGAAAAACCTACTTTTGCCACATCCATAGAACGTGATTTCTTACTTCACTCTAAATATGCATCCTTATATTGACAGATAAGTGTACTTTTCATCCCTCTTCAAAGAAGCTTCTTTTTGTAACAAGAGTTCCGGAACTGGTCAAACTCAGAGAGCAAGTGTCTGTGAGACACTTAACCCAGTGACACATCTTCAATGCAAGCTCTACACATAGGGTGAATACATCTCTCAACTGTCCACCAGTGAGGTTTCCTTATGCAGCAGATAGTGATTAACTCAGAAACTCACATTGGCCAATGGACAGAGAACAAGAGGCTACAGAGTACTTATCTCTGAATAGGACACCTATTTCAATCCTCTGCTTCCCTAGGTTCAGGGATTATTGCAGAAAAGGAGGTCGGAAGATTGTAAAAGCCAAAAGGGATGGATGATCACAAGGAAACAGACTTTTCCAGATATCTGGTCAGCTACACCTATGAACTCATAGCAATGGTGACAACATGCACAAGTCTGATGCAAGCTCAAACCAAAGTCCTAACATAGATATGGGGGAGTGAGTAAGAAATTCCAACCCAACCTAAGGAAATTTTGACAATTAATGAAATTAGAAGGGGGAGAGATAATGTCTTACAGGGAAAGGACTTTTGGTGGGCCCAGTGCATGGACCCACACTGAAGGACGTTTGGGGACACAAATCACACTCTATAGGCTATATTTTATAATATATAAGGGAGTACATTAAATTAGGCAGGAGTGCAGGGACATGGCGTCCTGACCTCTGCCTCCCCCTTGTAAGAGCTTGGGTATCTGTGGTATTTGCTGGAATTGTTTATCACAAGGACTTTCTCCTGATTCTGAGAAAAGGTACACCTGACCCAAAAACTAGCCTTACAGTCAGATGATCCCAATTATCATGTGTCCTGACTCCACCTCCTCTACTGAAAAGTATATAAAACATTCTCTAAAACAATAAAGTGGCAGTCGAAGTCCTTCCTCCCACTCCATGATGGTGTGATAGTTTGTTCAATCCTGATGCCCTCTGCCCAGAATACTCGGAGCTTGACGTGCTGGCGCGGCACAGGAGGGGGAAATTGAGGGAGGTGTGTAAAGGGAAGGTAATCTAAATACCATCAAACTATATTGTATGAAAATTGAAAAAAATACAATAAAAATTCATAAAAAGCAGGCTGAAACAACAAAATGAAAAACAAAAACCAAAACAACACCCCCAACTACACTTATATTTTTAGTGCATAATTGTTTAACAATACCTGTTACTTCCTGGTAGGTAAGATGAGAAAATTGACGCATAAATAGCTTTTCTGTTCTCTCTCTTATATCTTACAGACGTAAGATATAACATAAACTGAACATTTTGAGATTCTATGATTCCTATCATCACATATTCTGTAATTTAAAGGAATTCTGAACTCTGTTTTCATTTTAAATAGAAAAATAATGAAAAATCATTCTCTATGTAAAATTGATCTTTTTTTTTTTGTCTTTTTGAGAGAGTCTCCCTGTAGCCCCAGCTAGCCTGGATTTGCTGTGGAGACCAGGCTGGCCTTAAACTCACAGAGATCCACCTGCCTCTGCCTCCCAAATGCTGGGATTAAAGGCGTGCACCACCACACCCTAAAATTGGTCTTTAAATAGACAATAATGTAGTTTGACCAAGGTGCTGTTTGTTATATGCTGTTTGTTCTACTCAAATAATATTTTACATGTTAAGTGAACTTTCCTTTTTTATATTAGAGAGTTTAGTTTGCACACACAACACACACACACACACACACACACACACACACACACACAAAGAAAAACCAAGCAGGCTGAGCACAGGCCAGAGGAGCAAAGTCAATGAGCAGTGTTCCTCCATGATCTGTACCTCAGTTCCTGCCTCCAAGTTCCGGTCTGAGTTCCTGCTCTGGCTTCTCTCAAGGATGAACTGTGATCAGGAAGTGTAAGATGCAATACCCTTACCTCCAACTTGCTTTTGGTTAGTGGTTTATCACAGCAATAGGGAAGCAAAGTAGGCTAGTGGACTGAGCCCTCCTATATCAATTAATAATTAAGAAAGTGCCTCAACACTTGCTCAGGAAATTTTTCAACTGAGGTTTCCTCAATTGACTCTAGTTTCTGTCAAGCTGAGCAAAAACTAACCAGCATACCACACGGCTCACTCCAATTACAGGAGCTCTGACTCAGGGCCTCACATCTGACCCTCTACCTTGATAAACAGTACAGCTCTGTAAAGTAGGCCCCAGGAGGTGGGAGGACTTGAGCCATGTTTCCAGGCAGGAGAGGCTGATGCCTGTTTGTTAATGAGACTGAGCAGCCTTTTTAAGAGTTAGCACAGACATTTGCAAAGGGCTAGTGGATTGTGGTAGCATAGGTCACCGGGCAAGATAGGCCTGGGTTTAAATTGGGTTTCCTTTCCTTTCCTGTGTAATCTCCAGAATGTTTCTTGGCATGTCTCAGCTGTATTCTCTCCTTCTCTCTTCCCCTCCTCCTCTTCCTCTTCACTTTTACCTTTTCCTCCTCCTTCTTGATACTAACGATTGAATCCACATGCTGATCAGGTACATTTCCACAGAGCTGTATCCCTAGCCCTTCAGCCTCAGTTTTCTTATCAGGGAAATGGGAATAATAACAATACTTATGAACACAGATCATACATATAAAGTGCTGATATATATGATTAAGCAATACCTGTTGCTATCATTTTTGTTCTTTCTAAAGCACCCTAGGTTAGCCCCCACCCACATTCCCTAGAGCTAAGGTGCCAGGGCAAATCCCACAGAATTCTGTGATGAGACAGAAATGCCAGTGGCTATTTAATCATGAGAGATGTCACATGAGATAACTGAAGAGGATTAGGATTTAGGAAACTGAAAATAGGGACCCTTGGTAGTGGCTACCCTCAGGCTGTCTTATGTGAAAGCAATGGCTGTGTCCTATGAACCCCTGGGGGCACGCTTGCCATCAATTGAGATGAAAGGGCAGCACAGCCCAGGCCAACAGCCCCCGGGAACTAATTTCTCACAGAGGCAGCGAGGCAAAATGGGTGAGGCCCACGAGGAGGAGGCTGGTGCGCAGTCGTGGCGGCGGAGCCAATCACCGGGCGCAGCAGGTTCTTGCGCGACCCTGCAGGCCGGCTAGTCCCGCCGTGGTGACGTCAGCGGTTGCCATGGAGAGGCCGGCTGCGTGGAGACCGCGCGCTGACGCCAGGGCTTTGAAGCCGGGTCCTCAGCCACCATGAGCGGCCGAAGTAGGGGTCGCAAGTCCTCCCGTGCCAAAGGCCGCAGCAAAGGCCGCGCCAGAGCCCGAGTCCGCGCGCCTCCCGAGGACTGCCTGCGCGACGCGAAGCCGCCCCGGGGCCCGTTTGGGGAGGACGCCGCGGCCGCGCAGGTGCAAGCCAGCCCCGAGCTGGGAGCCCCGGAGCCCGCCGCGCCGGGGGAGGACGCGGCCTGCCGCCTCCCGCTGGACTGCGGCCTCGCGCTCCGGGCTGCGGGGGACCGCGGGCTGGCCGCCGGCGGCCAGGGGAAGGCCACGTCCCTGGCGGAGCGCCTGGCCACCGACACCGTGTTCCTGGGAACCGTGGGCGCCTTGGCCAGGCTGCGAAGCGGCCCCCGCGTAGGGAATCGGCGTGTCCCTGTTGGGAAGAAGGCCGCAGATCCCCGCAGTGCCGCGGGGAGGGGACCTCAGGCCATAAGTGGTGGGAAGGCAAAGAAAAGCTCTGCGGGGCCCTGTACTGCAGTCCCAGTGGGGGAGGAAAAGGCGGTGGAGAACCGTGCAGGGTCAGGGTCCCAGGCGACGGAGGGCAGCATGGATACTCTGGAGACCGTGCAGCTGAAGCTGGAGACTATGAACGCGCAGGCCGACAGGGCCTATCTCAGGCTCTCCCGCAAATTTGGCCAGTTGCGACTTCACCACTTAGAGCGCAGGAACCTCCTCATCCAGAGCATCCCAGGCTTCTGGGGGCAAGCTTTTCAGAACCACCCCCAGCTATCATCCTTTCTGAACAACAAAGATAAGGAGGTACTGAGCTACTTGAGCAGATTGGAGGTGGAAGAGCTTGGCCTCGCCAGATTGGGCTACAAAATCAAGTTCTACTTTGGCCGAAACCCCTATTTCCAAAATAAGGTGCTCATCAAGGAATACGGGTGTGGCCCTTCCGGTCAAGTGGTGTGTCGCTCTGTTCCAATCCAGTGGCTCCCAGGTCATGATCTGCAGTCCCTAAGCCAGGGAAACCCAGAAAACAACGGTAGCTTCTTTGGGTGGTTTTCAAACCACAGCTCTATCGAATCTGACAAGATTGTTGAAATAATCAACGAAGACCTGTGGCCCAATCCCCTGCAGTACTATCTTATCAGTGAAGCGGCCCGAGGGGAGAAAGGAAAGGAGGGAAGACCAGGTTCTGCAAAGCAGCCAGTGCAGACCCCTGAGCCGGGGGTGAAACAGTCCAAATGATCCTGTACAAGTCTCTCTACTACCTCCTGCTGGACCTGTTAGGCTGACCACGTGGGTTTGGCTGGCTGCCTTGTGTTCGTGTTCTAAGTGTACTGTAGCCACTTTGGACTTCAGCTGCAAGAACATGGCGTTTGTGATCATGTTCTTTGCTTCTCCATGGCCTTCTTATTTTTTTCACAATAGTGTCACATGTTATGTGATGTCACCCTTACTGTTGGTATGTTGGTATGTTAAGATGTGTGCTGTTTGGCTCTTCATTGCCCGTTCCCTGTTCTTAGCTCTGGCCCTTTCCATCTATCTTTAACATGGAGTCACCGTCTAGATGGATACTCAAGCTGTAATACTTCATGGTCAGTCACCTACTGAGCTTTGCATTCCTTCTAGCCGTGCATGTCACCAGTGGCAAGTTGTTCTGTTGCCACCACAAAATGAAGCCAGTGCACATGGCATTGACCATCAGCCAGCATTGCTATTTTGTGGGCCTGGGGACACCAGCCAATGCTCTGCCTACTTAATTTCCAGCTTCAGCCTAGAGTCCGGCAGACTACTGGATGTAGATGAGATCAAAGGCAAAGAGCAGTATGCCACAAATTCTTCATGTGTCTCTTCTTGCCTCTGGGTTAGTCTCCTGGTGAACTTTCATCAAAGTCTGGCCATGTGTGGTTGTTATCAGTCCACTGAGTTTTGCCTAGGTTGCTATTGGCTCCAGTTGTCCTGTTAAGCAAGGACCTCAAGAACCACCTATGAATCCAGGGCATGAGCCTCAAACCTACCCTCCCCTGACTTTCAGGAACCCCTCAGGCTGTCAGAAAGATGGACAGCCTGGTATGTGTGGACACATGTTCGTTGCTATCATGCTGTGAGTTCAGATGAGGTTAGGGGCTTGGGGCCGCACCTTTGTCAGTTAGGTGTATGTCAACTTCCCTATTCTCTGCTAAGATTTGACAAGAGTGCCTTAGTGGAAATGCTGAGGAAGAGACGTTTTTCATTCGTGGGCCTCTACTTTACTTCATCTCGTTCCTCCATACTACCCAATCTACTTCCCTAGTTACCGCCCTCCTGACCTTTCCCTTCTCCCTTTTCTGCCACATTCTCCCCTGCTCCTTCAAGTTCCTTTTCCTCTCTTTTTAAAAATGTGTGTGTTTAAATAGCAACAAATCAGCATCTGCATACAGGTGGGGGCTTGCCCTGCTCATTCACATAGTAGGTTGAGATAGGATAGAGGAAATTAGAAGGCTGGAGAGTTTGTGGTCAGACTTTGGTCCTGACTCTTGGGCTCATTCTGTAGTTCTAAAGTTGTATGTATCTGCTTGGAACCCTATGGCAGCAGTGTTATGGACTAGTGTCTACCTTTTTTTTTTTTTTTGTCTTTTGTGTGTGCCTTTTAAGACCCAGTGGCTCCTGTTCCCTCCTCTGGTAGCCCATGCCACATGGATCCCCAGCCCTAGCTTTTTTACTCAGCAGTCCTTTGTTGTCTTTGCTTCTGTGCCTAATAGCTGAAGTATGGAGGGATCCCAGGTTGTTACTAGGGCGTGGGGATGGGCACAGGCAGAGTCTGTTCTAGATCTTCACGTTATTTTCTGGTGAGTATGCAAGCTGAGCTGGGCTCTTACTGCCCAGGCTTGCCTGTGTCCTCCCTTTCTTCGGAAAGTAGGACTCTCTAAACTTGCCCGTCTCTTAAACTCCCTTCCCATACAAAAGGCGTAGCATTCTAAGTTCTGTGAGGGAGTCTTTGACTCACAGTGTTAGTGAGGTGATGCTAGGCAGGGGAATCAGAGCCACAGCATGGAACAGGTATGAGCCTGGTATCGAGTGGGCCAGGAAAAGCTCAGAAATGGCTTGAGAAGCTGCAGAGAGAGGGCCCTGTCTCAGCAATGGAAGTGGCAGGAAGGACCTTCCTCAGGACTGGAAAGGGAGATTAATGGATTTCTGGTAAAGAAGATGGTTAGGCAAGGATGGATCCAGAGTTTTGGCCAATCCTTATCTCATCATTAGTGGATTTGTTTAACCACAGACACTAACCAAAAGCAATATTACTATGTTGAATGCTTTGTTATTCTAGTGCAGCTTTGAGTAATGTGGAAAATCATGCTGTGTGCTGTGTATTTGGCCTCTAAGTAAAACTTCACTCTCCTCTTTGTTGCCTAATGAGAATAGAGCTGTATAAGTTTGCTCTTTAACAATACTGTTTTGTTCTTTATTACGGACATTTCCAGAAACAAGTGGAGACAATGGTCCCCGGACCCTGTATGCCCTCCAACTAGCTGCATCAGTTATCAGTTTGGAGCAACCTAATTTCATCTGTAGCGCTCTTTTGACCAACTGTTTAAAGTTCAAGGCACTACGCCAGTGCAACAAGGGCTGCTTTGAGAGATTGGGCCTCTGGTGCTGATAGTTGTGGTGTGCACTATCGTTATCACATTGTCTGCTTTTTGCTGTTTGTGTTAATGATCTTCCAGAAATGGGTCTCAGAAATGAATCTTCAGACTTAATAAAATTCAGAGATGAGAGGGAATATTTCATCTCTCCCACATCCACAAAAGAGACCATTCTGTTGTAAAACTTTGAAAGACCCTGATGTAAGGTACCTTTCCCATCTTAACAGGTTTCTCCTGTGCTCATGGAGACATGAACTGTTAATCAGCTTGCCCTGGCCTCATAAATTATAACTCTGATCTTGGAAATATAATTTGGAAATTGTTGCTGTGTCTTGTGAAAATAACCTCCCCTAAAGTAATCACTAACTGGTTGTTGTACTTGATAATTTGACACTCTGGTAATAATGCGATTATTTCTCTATTCCTAAGTAGTATAAATATTTGCAAGTTTGCATGCATGATGGAAAAATAATAATAAATACACTTCTGTCTCTGTTTTGTTCCTTATTTGCAAAAATGTAACTGGAGGTTATTAGGCAGAGGCTGATTAGTTAGGAGTGAGGGCTATACATTAGCCTAGATAAATGATTCCCAGGCCTCAGGCCCTTATGTGACTAGCTACACAAGAACACATCAAATACTGCTTCCCAGGCTTTTCCCAGGGATTGAGATTTTTGTGTGACTCTAGAGAACACCAACTAGCCTTGTTTATAATGACTTTCCCAGGTGCTTCTAGCATGAATGCACTGCTTCTCAAATTCTAGAGCACATTTGAGTTATGTGGGGGAAATCCTGTCTTAGTAGTCAGGCAGACCTGAGATTCTGCATTTATAGTATAAGCTCCCAGGTGATGAATTGCTGGTTACGTGAACGGCCTGTTGAATTGCATCTGGAGTGGCCTTAAAGGCCCCTCTAACTAGAGAAATGGTGCTCAACCTTGGCTGCATGTTAGAGTTAGCTGGGAACTTTAAAAAAATACCTGCCAGACATTTCAAAAGTTTCCCAGGTAATTCTGATACCTAGTCAGACATGAGAGCTGGGTTCTCTGATGCTGCTTATTTCAGATCCAGTGCAAGGATCATTTCCCATTAATTTAGGAGGAGCCAACCTCAGTGACAACCGAATGTCACAGAAAGCCACCCAACAGAAATGAATTAGAAATAGCTAGACGTTTGTTGTTAATTGATAAGAAAATAAGACTGGGCACTGGGGTGATAGCTCCCTGGGTAAAGGAGGTTGCTGCCAAATCTGAAGACCTGAGTTTGAGCCACAGAACCCATGTGGTGGAAGAAAGAACTAACTTGTGGCCACAAGATGTCCTCTGACTACCACATGCATGCTATGGTATGTGCATCCCCTGCATAGCCAACCAATAAAAATGTAATAAGAAAAGACTGGCTTGTATAATGGTGTTAAATAAGTATGTAGTGTTCAGAGCACTGTAGTGTTGAATGAACAAATGAATTTATTCTTGATTTACATTTAGGTGTCCCCAGGGCTATTTGGGTAAATTTATTAAATGAGTTGATTGTTTCATATGGACATTATATCAGTTTTCTGTCAGTACAGAGTACCACAGACCAAGAGGGGTCTGTGTGTGCAAACAACAGAAATTTTCTCAGTTCTGGAGGACAGAAGTCCAAGATAACGGTGTTGTCAGGGTGGTTGGCTTCTTCTGAGAGCCTCTTCCCCTGGCTTATAGATAGAATTCTTTGCTTTCATGTGGTCTGTTCTTAGTCTGTGCCTTATGTCCTAACTTCTTATAAAGGAAACTAAACACATATAGTTGGGGTCCACTCCAATGACCTCATTTAACTCCCATTACTTTTTTTAAAGACCCAGTGTCTAAATACAATCACATTTGAGGTGCTAGGGATTAGGTCTCCCACATGAATTTGGTGGGGGTTGGAAGACTTAATTCTTCTGGTAACATCTGACACACCTGCTGTGCATAGTAAGGCTTATCATGTTCCAGGCACTTTTATATTAACTTTGTGAGGATTAACTTAATCTTTACCTTGGTCCTATGAAGTAGGTTATGAGGAAATGGGATAAAAAGAAGTTAAATTATTTGGGTCAGAACCAGATATTAAATTCAGACAATCTAGTTCAAGGATCCGCATATATGAACTGGGTGTAGTGTCTTTAGTCCTGGCACTCAGGAGGCAGAGGCAGGAGGATCTCTGTGAGATCAAGGCCAGCCTGGTCTACATAGCAAATCCCAGGCCAGCTGGGGCTATTGGATATCCTGTCTAAAAAAGAAAGATATAAATAAATATTTAAAAATTACTTTGATTTATTTAGTGTGTGGGCATGGGTGTGCCTCAGGGTTCGTAAAGTTCAGGTCAGCTTTCAGGAGTTGGTTCTCTCCTACTATATGGTGTTCTGGGGATTGAACTCAGGTTGCTAGGCTTGGTGGCAGACACCCTTACTTTCTTGGCCATCTCACTAGCCTAACTTTTTTTTTTTTAAACCCAGAGTTTTCCTTTAAAATTTTTTTTATTTTAAATTAGCATACAGGGTATTAGCTATCATTATGGCATTTCAAGCAAATTGTGTCTTGATAGATTATCCTCCCCCTCATCTTCCTACCTCTTGCCTTCCTGATCCCTCCATCATCTCTCTCGATCTCCTTTCCACTTGCATTTCACGTGTCTTTTGCCCCCCCCCAACCCCCACCACCTCTCTTTACCCTCTCTTGTCCTCCTTTCTAATTTTTTAGGCTCCACCCACATTTACACACATTTATGTACATACACATACACACTACAAGCTAGTATCTGCATATGAGAGGGGAAATGTGGGTTTTGTCTTTCTGAATTTGGATCACCTGGCTTCATATAATACTAGAAAGTACTGTATGATTCATCTATTCTTAAAATTCCATTTTTCTTTACAGCTGAATAAATCATGTACCAGATCTTCATTGCCCATGAAAACCACCTGTTGATGGGCATCTGGGCTGGTTCTGCTTCCTTGCTATTGTGAATAGAGCAGTTATAGATGTGCAAATACCTCTCAGACTTTTTCTGTTGATCAATAGCATATAAAATGTAGCTTATAGATACCTATTCTTCAATATTGAACCTCCTCTTGGGATTCATGCAGAGTCCTGCTAGGGTTCTAGTTGGGAGGGGCTCTATACAATTAAGCTTATGAATGTACTTCTCCATAGGCACAGAGCCCACATTTCCCAGCTATCCTACCTAAAACACCATTATCAGTCTTCTGTTAATATAGTAGAATACCTGAGGCTGGATACTCTCTTAAGAGAAAAGGTTTATGTTGTTCACATCTCTGGAGGCTAACAGTTCAAGCCACATGGTTCTGGCTTTGATGCTAACTCTCCTGACTGCATCACATCATGGCAGATGACACCATGGTGGGAGAACATATGAGAGGGAGAGATCATATAGTAACACAGGAAGCCAGGGAGTGTCAGGGATCAGGCTTTGCTGTCTTATAACAACCCTTGTAAGAGCTAACCAGAATCCCATGAGAACTACAATTCCTTCCCATCTCTTAAAGGTCCTGCCACCTTTTAGCATTGTCACTATGAAGACCAAGTTTCTATTGCAGCAAGCCATATTCAAACCACAGCACATCTCTTTCTGCTTCCTTGGACAACACATTCGACTTGAGATTCATAGCTGCCTCATAGGATCGTTTGCTCATTGCTGCCTGTGAGTAGACCTTAGGGACTTAGCTACGAATGAATGCATGTCTGATTGTTCTTCCCCCTTCTAGGCTTCAACTTTTTAGCCTTTTCCTGGGAGTGTCAGTTCTGCTTCTTTTTCCTTTTGTTGCATGGGTCCACAATCTTAAAGGAGGGGCTAAAGGGCCCCCCTTACTCTTAGACTTTAGGTCACACTTCACAAGGTACTCAAGACTTTCATAACCTAGAATGTGAGGGCTTTCCATAACCTATAACTGGTTATATTGAGTTTATGGCTCCCTTTTCAGCTCCCAAATTCTGTATAAAAATTCCTCTTCTAATTCCTTTCTGTTTCTCTCTCCAGAAATTTTTTGGAGATAGGGTCTTACTCTGTATCCTAATCCAGGCTGGCTTCGAAATCAAGATGCTCCTCCTGCCTTAGCCTCTTAAGTGCTGGGATTACAGATGTGAGCCACCACACCTGGCTTCTTTTCTTAACTCATTACTTCCTGGGATGTTTTAGAAGTGTGATAGGTTTGTGCTATGCTATAATATGTGAGGAAGGAGAGAAAAATAAAAGACTCTGCCATCCGTAGCTTACCAAAAATCTCTACCAACCTCTGACATTCCTTTTGGACTCTGGGATTCCCCTCTCTGGACTGCTGTGGTGGCTACTCTGTGGAAAGAGGCACACTGACCTAAGGTGACCTTTTAGAATCAATCAGTCTTAGGGGGAACTTTGGAGAATTCATTTACTTTCTGAACATTTAGAATACCTCTTCTGCATTCTTATCCCCTTGAGATCCTCAGCCTTAGAGAGTTGTTGCTAATGATGCATGAGGCCATTTCTCTCAGGTGTTGGGGCAGCAGTAATGTAGCACAGGCTATCCAGACCACAATTTCTATTTGTCCTTAGCTTGCTCAATTATGCTTTTGGAATCTTGCCCAGCTTCATCTCACAATTCAGGCTCATAACTCCCATTTGTACAAGCTGTTCACTAAGCAAGAAAGTCATTTTAGAAGTGACTCATGTATACTTTGTTCTATGCTGTTATTTTTAATCGTTCAAAGTTGAATTAATCCCCCTCCCTTTTTATTGGATTTTGCGATTTTCATACAATATAGCTTGATGGTGTTTAGATTTGCTCCCTCTCCACACCTCCCTCCATTGCCCCCCACTCAATTGAATGAACTCTCTTATCTACATAATATGGTCAATAGAGTCAGATTTGTGTCCCCAAATGTTCCTCAGTGTGGTATATCCACTGGGCCCACCAAAAGTCCCATCCCTGTAAGATACCTCCCTGTTTTTCCCCCTCCCAGCAGCCATCAGTTGCTAAAAGTTCCTTAGGTTGTGTTGGATTAATTCCCCCTTTTTAATTTCAACAGTATTTTTCCACACTTCAGTTTATAGTACCTGAGAGTGATCTGTGCTTATCTATTTACCTTTATTTCTGGGGGTCCCAGGTCGTATGATAATGATAAGCTTGTTTAGATCTCATTCTCAGAGACTTACACATAGTGAGTGAACATATGAATGTTGGAAATACCCAGGAGGGGAGACTGGGAACCATTTTGAATGGAGGAGAAGCATGAACTTAATACAAATGAATGAAAGGCAGGGCTTGGGGGTAGTGAGGAAGCTATTACCTGGACAAAGCCTCAGGCAAAAAGAACTTGGGGATGCCAGCTCACTCTCACAGCATATTAAAAATCAAGCAGGAAAATGGAAGAGAGTCGGGAAGCAAATGAAAAACGTTGGAAAGTCACCATGTATACTTCTGTGCTGTAGTGACGATGTTCATAGCACACGAATCTGTAATTGAGAACAAGGAAAAGCAAGCTGATTCTG